GAAATCACCTTTTATGGGCTCCTTCCGTCTTCCTATCGGTTTTCTGCCATGACCTTGCATGGAATTCAAACAACTTAGCTTTAAGTGGCTTTGATATGATTGTTGAAAAATGTGAAATCAGAAGGGCAGTCATCTAGTCGCTTCGGAAGTCGATCATGAAAGCCGAATTTAGTAAATACTAACAGTAAAGTAATTTAATATCTTCAGTATGCGATTAACCAACAGTTTTATTTCTACAAAAATAAGGAGCAAAAATGCAAAGCAGACAATAACTGGTTACTGTAATGTTCCAGGCAGCGGCAAAGCACCAGCAAAAGTTGGATCGTGAAGCAGCGGAGAACACCAGACTGCACTTTAACATTATTGCGGAATCGTGGAAATGAATTATCGAGGAACATCGGATGGTCTATGATTAATTATGAATCTAGGCTTATTTTCATTGTCATATTGGAGTTTTCCTGAATTAGTAAACAAATAAACAAGCAATTTTTTCTAGTTTCGATCTCAAAATTTTGGTCTAGCATTGACATTATAAAGAAGAAAGACAGGCGAGATTTTAAAAAGACTTCGCTAACTTATCATTTAGCTCTTTCCTTAATTGAGAGGTTAGCACGAGATTGTTACTTTGCTTTGACAACGTTTTCACATCTTCGTCTTCTTCAGAGCCAAAGATTATTTCAGATGAAAGAAGCTACATTGACTATTAATACGAAGGTTAAATGAAAGTCGACTTGCAATAGTATTAGTGTGCTATGTGAAAGCTTATCTAATATCGACCTCTAACGAAGGGATCGTCTGTTAAAGAACAAATTATTAACGCTTCGATGTCTTGCTCTTCCTCAAAGTCAGTGATCCCAGTCGATAGTTCAAAGTGGTTTGTGCTCGTATATGGTCTCTTCGTAGTTGTATCGAGTCGAATTTCCTTTAGTGGAGAACGGCTCGAAAAAAGTATCCTCACATCGCAAAGCCCTTTTATACAGAGCGGTCGTTGATGATATTGACTGCTTGTTGATAACAGTTTGTTTTTCAACGGACATTCCATCCTTCAGTGGTCGGTATTAGATAAGCTTCCACATAGCGAAGTAGTACTACTTTAAATCAACTTTCATTTAACCTCATCATTAATAGTCAATATTTCTTCTTTCGTCTGAAATAATCAATGACCTTGAAGAAAACGAAGATATCAAAAGATGGCCGAATAAACGCTTGGTGATAACCTCGTGACAACTCATCAGTAAGAGAAAGTACACTGCTTGTTCACACCGAGGTTAAATGGAAATCGTTTCACCATTGCACTATCATTCAGTGCCGCAAGAGCACTTAAAATTATCAGCAATGAGAAGGGGGTAAAATCACGGTTTCATATCTCATCATAAGAAAGAGTGACGGAAGCACGTCCTTTGGTGATAAACCGAAGCTTACGATGAAAAGAATAGTAAAGTGGACTTCACTGTGGACAATTTTTCTATCTAAAGACAATAAATGCTTCTTTGAATTGACGTTATGTAATCGATTACTCGTGCACTTCCTTCACTGAGTTACTCATCCACGAATCTATGAGCTCCATTCGTTGCTGTTATGCCCCACAACTGCTTGGTTCGTTCCGGTGTTTCAAAGAACATGAACGGCACCACGTTTTGGTGCTATACCCTCATTCATAATGCTGCGTTTTGAGACTGACCTTCTATTAATTTTGGCATTCCTCAAATAATACTTCACATTCCTATTGAGCAAACACGACTTGTTGCTTCATTTTTTATTGACAAATAAGCTAAAGTTTCGCAGGATTTTATCCTCTTCAGAGCCCTGAGTGGTCAAGTTGACTGCAATCTGCACAGTCAAACGCCTGCACACCCTCCAAACTGCCTTTTGAAAAAGGATTTTGAAAAAAGAAAAAGGAGTTTTTCATCATAGGTCTTATTTTCCTTATGCGTTTCTACCTTCAATAGGAAACTCTATAGAGGTTGGGAGCACAAGCAAATTGCTCATTCTTCATGCACGTAGTAAATTTTTAAGGCTTATTTTTGAAAGCTAGGGACGCATGTGGCGCAATGGTTGGAGGCGCCCTACAACGCACACGTGGAATCGATCCCTCCGCTCATGGCCCACCATGCCTTCCATCTCTCCGGGGTCCGCAAATCGGTACCAGACTCGTCTGGGAGGATAGCAGCACTAGCTGGATACATCGGTAGGCTACCGCGAGTCATTGTAAAAGCCAGTTATGCATTCAATCACCTCCAGCGATACTTAATGGAGTCGAATGCACGGCGCATCCCTCAAGGATTGATCAACGTCGAAACCTTTCTAAAGCTTCTAGCTTTATCCTAAGCTAATAGCTAATGGTTTACTACCTCTCCTTTTATCCTTCACATATAAAGAAAGCACTTATCAAAAACATAAACCGTACGGCTAAAAATGCGTACAAAGCAGAAGAGGAAAGGAAGGGATCGCTATAGCTGGCACGAAAAATAGCCATTGTCAATGGCTGCGAAGCAGAAGACACTCGGGTCAGACAAAAACCTAGGGTTGTTCCTCAAAATGATGTTTCGAACGTAAGTAAGATCTTTTTTAAGCTACCCTTCATATCAAATGAAATAACTCACCTTGAAAATTATATAGCGATTACTGACCTCCCACCCAATACGCTACGCCGTCAGTTAGTTCTCAACCGCCCCTATGATCGTTTGTGGAGCTCAGAAAACTCTGTGATCTGTCCTAACGGAAGAGACGGGGATTACATGAGGTCTGGTACAATATACGTGATCTCATATAAGTCATGCAGTGGAGAATATATTGGGTAAACGGATAGAACATGCGGTGAGGAATATACTGGGGAAACGGTTAAACCCCTTTATGTCCTCATAAAGGAACATCTGGATAGCAAAGTTAAAATTCGCCAAAGCACACCTCTAGGTACGCATAGGGCACAAAAGCACAGCGGCGATGATTTCGAAGTGACTGTGAGGATCCTAACGCAGGAATCAAAAACATCAACGCGCAAGACCCTTGAGGCGTTTTGAATGAATTTCAACAATCCAAAGGTGAACCGGAAAGATGAACCCTTGACTATCGCAAGTAACCTGACGCCTTATTTTAAAATGATTTTTTCACCTGCGCGGGTCTCGTTCGTGACCCCACGTGAACAACGAGTGGACCAGTCCCACTTGCAACAGTACGGTGAGTATCCTTTCTGACCAATTTGGCCTTTATTTGAAAGTTTGATCTTCAATAATACTACAAACATTTCACCGAATATAAGATTACTATTACATGAAATACGCCCAGGCACTGAGGAAAGGGAAATCGCCGAAACGCCAGCCATCGACCAACAACACCAACAACAACGACGACAAGAACAACAACAACGACAACGAAGACCTGTACCAACCTCGCATCAGCTCAACAAGATCAGTTTACAAGATCACATAAATAAATATATTCATTCCATAGCTAGTGAAATGCAGATCAAACTAGTAGGTGTGAGACGAGAAATTTCGTTCTCTGCATTTAATCTCCTACAAAACCCTTTTCTTGAAAAAGTTCGTAGATCGGCAACTTGACTAACAACTAATTGCTATTTTATTTTAGTTACTTTCGTCATTGGGCGAAATGTGTGGATACTGTGGATATAAAATACCCAAAAAGAGTAGTTTAAGTTGCAGCACATTTTAAAATACAGGCAGTAACTTGTTTCCACCATGGACGGTAAAACGTAAAAAATGGAAGGATGAAGCTCTCAGCGTTGATCAATTCCTGAGGGAGACGCCATGCATTCGACTTCATTAAGCATCTTTTGGAGGTGATTGAATGCAGATCTAGCCTTTACAATGACTCGCGGTGGCCTACCAATGTATCGAGCCGGTGTTGCTATCCTCCCAGACAGGTCTTGTATCAATTTGCCAACCCTGGAGGGATGGAAAGCTTGGTGGGCCACGAGCGCGGGAATCGATTCCACGTGTGTGTGGCAGTGGCGCCTCTAACCAATGCGCCACATGCGTCATCCGTAGCAATATTGAGAAAATAATAGCAAACATATCATTCACTCCGATTGAACAAAGAGTAAAATCTCTTGCACAGTTATGTAATGTACAAAACCCCGAAAGCGCTATAGTTATTGAAAATTTTTTTTATTGTCAAAAAGCCAGAAAATTCATAGCCGACGGAGAATTCCATTCGGAGAGCCATTCCTAACGGCGCACATCCGTTATTGGTTAAGAGTGCTAGCACACTATCTCCCGCCTATGAATTTGGTAACATTTACGATTTCTGCTATGCATTTGGATTGTACTCTAACTCGTTGAAAGCAACAGATATACGCAGGAATGATTTGCAAGCTCGTAAAGTGTTTAAGCGTTAAGGGTTAATTGAACCCATCGAAATGAGCCATGCATTCGACTCCAATCGTGGTGACGCAGAGGTGATAAAATGCATATTTAAAAATGCTTGTAAAATTTACGAGTATTCTTATTTCCTCAGAAATTTTGATCTCAGCTCATCAACATCAGATGGATCGGAATGCTAGCTTGTTTTGGCCTCGGGACCGAACAGGTGACCGTGTGTTCATTGCGAGCCCCTCTAACCACTGTGGTACAATCATCACTTATATACTTATCTGTTGTAGCCCATTTACAATATTGAATTTAGCAGGAATGTGATGAGGATCGTGCCCAAACATCGTCTATGCAAAAACTTCACTTCAAATTTATACTTTACAACATCATTCAATAATAGATAATTTAGCACTGGTAAATGAAACGAAATATTTCCTTGCGTAACAACTTTTTCAAACACCAAGCAGAGCAGAAAAATGTCAGAAAAGATTGAAAGATGATGGTTCAGCTGGAATGAAACATAATAGAGATTGAATAATCGATTGAGAAATTATTGTGAGAGGACAAAGAGCCATGAGCTAACGAATATCACTCGAAGCATGCAAAGAAAAGGGTTGAATCTCTTTAAGTTATAAACAATCCGTATTTATTCGCAGACTCATCAAACTACTATGATAGTACAGTAGGCGAAAGAACCGATACCATAAGAAAACTTTTTGAGAGCACAGAAGGTGAAAGTACACCTGGAGAGAGGACAGGTCCGCCAAGTACCATCGGTGAGAGAAGATCCGGGCACAAAACATAAGGACTGAGTACTAACGGCGAAAGAACGTATGGATTGATGACGTTCGGTGAAAGAACATAAGGTGTCAAGATGAACGGCGCCATTACCAATGGTGAGAGCACGTATGGAGACAAAACATATGGTGAAAGAATAAATGGCATAGCGATTGCTGGAGAGAGGACGTAGGGTGAAAATACGGCTGGATTTAATATCAGCGGGGAGAATAACGATGGTGAAAGCACCTGAAGAGTTTTCCTTTCGTTTCCTTATTACTTGCTTCGATATTTATATTATATTGAATTTGAATTTGAACCATACGAATTTCGAAGTACTTACGATTCAGTAAACACGCCAACATGCTGCCGAGACACATGCCCATGGCGCTGTTCTAAGTTTAGTGTTGAACATTTAGTGATTTCTTTTACTTCAACCATCATCATATGTATTATCTGGCAGATTGCAGCATTTCTTGCATTCAATTCGTTTTCTCATACCTATTATCCACAGAGGATTTTGAACTTTTTGTCCTTGGGTTCAGCAATTGCTTGGGTATTCGTCCACTTCGCCAGGAATGTCTTCGACTGATGGTAGGGCCGACTCTTCCTAGTACCCTGAGATAGTCGTACTAAGGCGTCGCCAGGTTTATTGAGGGAGTAGGCCGTTCCCAGGCAAGCCTGGCAGCATTTTTCTATCCAGAGAGAGATAGGAGGCTTCGTGGTCCGATGCAGAGTGGAGCCGTTGTCTCGGCAGGTTAGTCCATCCGAACAATGAACGGCATCACTAGTGGTGCACCACCAGCCTCCTATTCAGTAATTACACAGTAATAGAAACTTTCGAAATTATGAAAGAGTGGGGGGAACGAGAAAATGAGCGAAAATCTCATTTCAACAGTTTTATTGATTTCAAAGTTTAGCTAACAGAACTGCAGAAATGATTGCAGTAGTTTTAAAAAAGTCATTCGTTGCAAAGGCTAAATTTATTTCATGATAGGAATTTTCGCTTCTTCTGTTTTTCCACTCTATTAAACTTCAAAAAGAACAAGTCATAGAATTTTTGGGTAGCTCCAGGGTATAACTCCAAGTGCTGAATCATTATTTTAATTAGATGTTCCCACGTTCTTTTCACTACATGGATCAAAATCACATACATTGATAATCTCAGTGCTTCCTCCATTCTGCACGTTATCTTGCATACGTTATCCGTTAAGGGTCTCGGATTTGCCTGAGGGCTCAATGCTTGCTGTGGCTTTTCTGTTCGCCTTAAGTGCCGTTTAATGTTTATCGAGTGAATTTGAGAAGAGGTGATTTCCAGGTTTCGCATTGTCCTCAGCATTTTCATAACAAAGCAAAAAAAAACGAGAAGAAGAGAGAAGCGTAACCATATATAGTTGTGTCAATATTGAACTTAGTTGCGGGAAAATTCTGCTACTTTGTTCATTTTTCGTGTATAGTAAGTTAGCTATTTGCAACTAGGCTTAAAAAATTTCTCGGAAAAACAAAAACTCGGCAAGAAATTCTGAAAATGGTAAACGTACAACTGGACCAAGTATGGTAGCGCCAAAGATCGGCGAAAACATGTACGGAGCAAGTACGGTAGGCTTCAACACGGTCAACAATGTGATCTGCCGTTTCGTTCGTGATTTCTGCGAAAAAGAAATTTTGACAAAAGCACTTGCTTAGGCAGTAAATTTCATCTTCTATTTTTGAAGAAACCTTTCTATCCCACTAATATTTCCCTAACGAGTGTGGCTTTGGGTTTTTCGAAGTTCTATTTGAAATAAAAGCAATAGTGTAGAAAAGTAAGAAGTAGAAAGAGACTAGAAGCGCGAAAAATGACCAACTTGTCAGAATCTTAACCTTTTTATTTACTGCTTACACTCTTTAATAACAGGGTATGTGGCGAGACATAACTTCTATGATGCTGAGATGTTTGCAAAACTGCAGACCGCAGGCGTCTGCAGTGGTAAACCAACGCGCTATTGTCCTTTCCGTGGAGTAACGCGTTCACCACCACACCATGCGGGTCCTTCGCTTCGCGTGTCTCTTTACAACCTGTCAGAATTTTTATAACATCCTTAACAAGGACCGAAAGTATGTTGTCATTTTTAATGTTAACTAAATTGTCTTCCAGCTTCGTGAAACATCTTTGAGCCATTTTCTAGTTATTTTGCTCGGATTTCGTATTTTGTTTCTTAAAATTATGTGACATAGAAGGTCGAGTATTAGTGGACAGAATCGCTCCCGATTTTCATGGCTAAGGTAGACTTACCGTTCCGTTGGCGGCAATCTCAGCTAATCGTAACCACAGAGCTTCTTCTCGTTCAGAGTGTGATTGTTTACCGTATTCATCGATGTCGAAATCCAGTTCACTGCGATGTTTTGCCAATTCTGGAAATGAAAAACTTTCTAGCTTCTCTAGCTTCGACATTCAGCACGGTTTACAACCACCACATTGTTGCTTCTTAACTAAAACAAGTCCCCACAAAAAATACCAACACGGTTATTTTGAGTTACTTAGTTTCACACCTGTGAAAAAATAGGATATTGATCGAGGATTTCTTTAAGGAAAGTTCTTTTCTTCATTTTTTCGAGTTTTCACCAACAATTATCAAAAATGGTAAAGGATGAAAGATAAAGGATAATGCTCTTGGCATTGATCATTCCTTGCGGAACGCGCCATGAATCTATTGAGCTAATTTATAAAGGATAAAAAATAAAGGATAGAACTCTCGGCGTTGATCAATCCCTGAGGTATGCGCCATGCATTCGACTTCACTAAGCATCGTTTGGAGGTAATTGAATACACATGTGGCCTTTACAATGACTCGCAGTGGCCTACCGATGTATCGAGCCAGTTTTGCTATCCTTCCAGACAAGTCTAGTAGCAATTTGTCGAACCCGGACAAATGGAAGGCTTGGTGGGCCATGGGTGCAGGGATCGATTCCACGTTTGTGTGTTGCAGAGCACCTCCGACCACTGTGCCACGACTCATTTATAAAGAAGCGCAATATGAACCAATCAAATTCATTTGCTGTCGTTATCAATTCATTAGGTGACTGGGTGATCTTTCTCGCGAACACAATGACTATTGGCGATAGCCCTCCGATGTATAGTCAGTATAACCCTTTCAACTGTTAAGCTTTATTGTGTACTTATATATCCTCGACGTAGACGCAGATTATCGGCTCTAAAAAAGACGACGTCAAAACGTCGGCCAATTAAACTTATATAACAAATTCGTTCAAGCTGAGCAACTTAAGCAGTTGTATCCATTATTGACATTGAAGTTAAGTAAAAGTCGGTTTAGAAACAGTATAGAGTCAGTGTTTTGCCCTCCAGAACAATTTTGGTGGCAGTCTGCCGAATTCGATGGAGTGGAAAGGTTGGTAAGCCCAGAAGGCAAGATCGATCCAACGACCGTGTATAAAAAGGGTTTGCATTAAAAGCACCTCCAGCCACTGTGCTGCATGAGCTTCATTGAAACATAACACTGCATAGGAAATAGTACATAAAAAATATTTCGACGCAAACTTATTTGCTACTTATCATAGAAACGCTCAATTTTTTTCATACTTAGCGGAATGTATTTGATTAAAAAGTAATATTATAAAGAGCTCCAAGTAGATTCATATATCTTAGGGCCTGCGAATAATACAAAAATCTGTCGGAGTAGAATCGCCTACGAACCGTTTTGATTGTGCAAGCTCCTCAACTGGTGCTTTTCTAAAAACGTGTATCCACGCCTCTTCATGTCGTGTTTTTGTTTGACAGTAAATGTCCGTTCCATTTTCGTAAACATTCTTGTCATTTTTTCGGTAACGTCCTTTAATTCGCCTTGCATTCCAAGCAATTCAGTATTTGACAGTATCTGAAACGAGAAAACACTGACTGGAGAAAAACCACGTTGATGCAGCGCTGTGGCTAGTGAAGCAGCTTGTTATAATGCAACGGCGCTAGTTCTATGCCCTCCCCAACGCACGCTTTCCTCCATTCCATGTGGGAATCCCTTAGCCATGCTATCTCCAAGTCTGCGAAAAGGATCGACTAGACCAGCATTCTACGACGTTCATAAAGAAGAAAGCATCCTCAAGCAAGAGCTGAAGAAACACGAGAAATGTTCGAAGATCTTTGTGAACGATGGAAATGAGGAAAACGAACCAAATGAAAAAAGTGCTGAGTTTCATACAGTAAATGCGATTATGAATCATGTAATAATATTTTTATTACTTACTAACTTGTCGTTTTTGTACGACCCGTCTTTCGCATGTACCGTGCGGATCACAGCACTTCTCACATCCGATTCGTTTTCTTACATCCATCATCCACGCGTGGATACTAGTAGTTCTTTCATTTTATTCGCTTCCTCGAGTCTGTCAACCGCAAAGGTTTATGGATTTGCGTATGGGTTCAGCTTTTGCTTGAGGATTCGATCTTCTTCATAAATGCTTTTTTAATAATGGAGTTGATTCCCCCATGAACCATTAGATGCTGGTACATTTCTAAGACAGTCCCAAAAACAATTATCAACCTTTGTCGGCTTTAGGAAACTTTTCCCAGACAAGTTTTTTTTTACCAATTTGCACACTCCGAAAGAGCGAGAGGCCTGGTTGGCTTCGGACGGCATGGAACCAAGGATCTTGCGCATATTTTAAGGCAGCATCTCATGTTACTGCACCACTCAACCCTTTTTTTAGCAATTGAAAAGATAGCAAACTCTTGTGGAGTGCACCATTTTTAAGTTCACGAAAAACTAAATCGCCTAAGTGTAAGTGTTTTCCATTAGACACATGCGCCACTACGCCTAATTTTGAGTGAGATCTGCTTGAAACTGAGCGTAGCTTTGGCCGACCCTTTTGTGTATCCAAAAACCCACCTCGAAAAAGGTCTTTTTATTTTAAGTCCTTAAGTGTGTAGAAAAAGATTTTTACGGTCTAGATCTACCACCATACTATTGTTGCATAAGGCATCGATTGAATGCTCAAAGAAAAGGAAATAATGAGGCTGTAACAAAAAAGACAGAACGGGTATGCATTGAAATCGAAGCAAGCAGTCGGCTCTGCCCATTTATGCATGTTTTGATTTTATTACTACAGCCCCTATGGATTAGGCATTTATAAGAAACTCATTCTTAATACTAATTCGTAATTTAATGCAAGTAGACCTATTATCTTTCTTTAGCAACGAGGCTATATTTGGAAAAATGTAATAAGAACAGAACATTGAATAACATTGAAGAAACGATATAGAAATCTATTTTTGGCTTCACTACGTTCCCTCAACTGACACGCTGGTAATCAATCCAGATTTCCTTCTCAGATTTAGAAGATATTATGGGTAAGTAGAGCTGTTGAGCTTCACCTTCATGGCGTCATCGATCACTTGGCGAGCTCCAGCAATCTCCATCACTGTCTCAAGAATATCATCGCGGTCTTTCTCAGTCATCCCTACCGCGTCTAGTAACTGAAATTGATTCATTAAGGGTCAAGCAGGTTCTATTTTGTTCAGTATCAAATTTTCCCTACTTTTTCTCAGTTTAAAAAAATAAAATAACTGGTCTAATTTAGAAGGCCGCCACTACCTTTGTTAAAGATGCTAAAAAAAGTTCTAACTATAATACTGTAGAACAAGCAGTGAATAAAAAACGATGGATTATATCACAGTTGTAAAATATTCAGATTCTTTTTTCACTGCAATCGAGAGGAAATTCACATGGTTGCTAAAATGAGGAACGAGGTATCGATTTCCATTCACAGGTCCTGCCAAAAGTGATCCTGTGCTAGGAACTGGGAATGCGCGATCACGACACCAGGACAAGGAAAGGCAGCTTAATTAGCAAAATACTAGCCAAGCAGAAAATATTTTGATGCTTATTCCGTTTGAGGGCTATATTCCTCTAGGGGATACGCTATGCCTTTGAACTTATTAGTAATCATAGTGGAAGTAATTGAAAACATATTTGGTATGAGCAATGATTTGCAGAGGTTCAAGTCACTGATTTCAATTACCCAGACAAGTTTTGTGCCGCTATACCGACTCGAAGTGATGGAAGCTTGGTTAGCCCTGTGTATGGGATCAAACCAACGATAATGTGTGGGCTATTGGCCACCATTAATTACCGTACTGCACTCACCCACTGTCCTTAGTAATGTTTTACGGTACCAAATCATACATAGTTATTTGTTTCAGCAATTTTCACCACTGAAGAGAAAAAGAATCTGAACCGTACCTTAGGAATTGGAAGCAGTTGTTCTTCATTGTCATCTTTGTAAAAGGACAGAACTGATGGCGACAGTGATCCCTTGACTTCGTTCTTGTCAGGCATTATGGCGCCTATACGCGGACTGTAACTTTTTTTTGCAGTAATCTTGTATTATTTGCATATTTCTAATGTTAAGGATATGCCACTTAAATCATGGAGACGCCTAAATAATGTTTTGCACCTATTCACCTTAAAAATTTTATGTTGCTTGAGTCGTTTGTCCTTTTTGACTTGCCTTCTAACACTCGCACCATATTGTAGGCTTCCTTGACGAGTGGAGGCATCAGAGGCTGAAGAAGCCACTATCAAAATATAAGGAAAGGCAATTGGAGCAAATAAAGAAATTGGAACAAACAAAAACTAAAAAATAGAAAAAATAAAAAATGTTAGAGAAGTTTAAGTTTGGTGATAAAAAATGTTCTCCTTAGTAATAATGATACTTCCAGCATTTTTCTTATAATGCACTCTTCCAGTCGAGTCGTGGTCGGCCGCTATATGGTCCGTGTGAAAAATATTGTGTTTTAGAATATATGATTTTGGTGTTCGTAGGAAATATCTTGAGTCAATGATGCTGAGATATTGCAAAATCTCCAGACCGCTGGCGTCTATGGTGGGGAATGAACACGCGAGCTATTGTCCTTACCGGGGAGTAACGCGTTCACCACCAGACCATGCAGGTCCTTCGTTTAGCCTGTCTCTCAGCTAGTTCTATCGATCTCTGCTATCAGAAATCACCCGTCGGAGGGATTGATCTGGGGAGCCCAAATCGGCAACGAACCCAATTAAGCTGAGGCTGTAGTTATAATGACAATTTTAACTCAACCTCGCTGACGGGTGATTGCTGATGGCAGAGATCGATAGAACTAAGTGAGAGACAGGCTAAACGAAGGACCCGCATGGTCTGGTGGTGAACGCGTTACTTCCCGGAAAGAACAATAGCGCGTTCGTTTCCCACCATAGACACCGGCGGTTCGGAGTTTTGCAAATATCTCGACATCATTGAAATTATATTTTGCAATATACCCTGCCATTAAAAAGAGTAGGCAGCAATTAATAAGTTAAAATGATCTTGAGCCAAATGAAAAGAATGCAAGAATATGTAAGGAAAATTTCCAAAGATAGAACAAAAAACCTTTCTATGTTTAAGTTAATGTTAGAAATTAGATCTAAACAGGTAACCTTTTCATCTCTAACTTTAGTTGGCTTGCTGTTTCCTACTACAAGGTCATACATCCGAAGATCATACACCTAAAAGAAATGAGGAAAAATCCTGCGACGCTTCGTGCAAAACAGTCTAGCTATCTGGATCTACAGTACTCTTGCCCCCGGCTTTTTGGCCTGTTCATCAAACATTTTCTTGATCTCCAGTAGATGCTTGTAGCTTTCCATCCATTTGGATCTCCTGAAAAGTGACAACCTCAATTTTTTTCTTTTTTTTTGATATCCTAAGTAAAGACTTCATTGTGACTTGCTTTTCTCAACTAGGAAACATTTATTAACAAAATAACCCAACACTATTTCGAAACCGACTTTCCTCTACCCTCGGTGTGACAAACATGTGTTCTTTCCTTGATGAGCTTGCACGAGGTTTATAAATATTTCTCTTCATAAGCATAAAGTATAAAGTTTATAAAGAAAGAATACGTAACCCAACACTTTTTAACAATCCCGGGTTGCCTTTATTAGAGGACAAAAATTTTTAGGTGATCAACTTCTTGTTTTCAGGCGCTTTAAAGTCTTAGCACAGCAATTTTTAAATGAATACCCAATTTGAAATGCTTTCAGTGATATCAAAGTACCTTTAGAGTCGTTGTAAACCGACATTCATTTGACCTCGGTATGAGTTTTTTTCTTTAACCTAAGATTTTCTTAGATAATTAGACAAACACAAGGCAGGTGTTGTAAAAATCATTAACCATTTAGAAAAGTAGTGATTATTGTGGCCGACGATTAAAGAAAGCCGGTTTTTAAGACATCCTCAGAATATTTCTAATAACTTAGTTTCATTTAAGCTCAGCATCTCTAGACAATACTTAGTTGTATTGACGAGCTTAGACGAGGTGCCGTCCTGTATAAAAAGGTACTGCCCGATTAGTTTACTTCATGCGTAAAGTGACTTACTTCACTAGATTGAAATCGATGAGACGACCACGGAAACCCACATTCGCAACCCACATTTGCAGAAACAATTACTGTGGAGTTCAACTTACCCATCACTCATGGTGCTGTCATTCCTCTTTGCCAGAAAAGTTTTAACCAGCCGCGTCACACGCTTCACTACAGATTTGTCTCCATGCGGCAGAAGTGACGGCACATTTTTCATGTTGACCACCTTGAAAATCTCAAAAAAAGTTTATAAAAAAACTTTTTATAGCTCTATAAAAAATAGACAATACCTGGAACTTGTCCGGCTTTCTTTTATCGTTAGCGCCATTTAACATCAGTCGGTACGTACTACGCTTCATGCGGCGGCTACGGTACTCCTTAAATCTCATCAGGGTGGTCGCTTGAGCACCCATCGGCTAGAATTCGTCTAATATGAATAAAGTTCCTTAAGTTTTGTAAAACTCTGAGTGACAGTG